TGCATGAATGATGATCACGAATGACTAAAAAAGTAGACAGGTACTTGTAATTTGTAGATCGGTTAATTTCCCCGTTTGAAATTAGCAATAATTTGTAATTTGTAGAATTTTATGATTTAAACTTTTGAAACTTAAAAGGGAAAATGACAGATAAAGAAGTTTGAAAATGTGAAATGTCAATTTGGGAAGCTAAGGAAATGTAATTACACATGGGAAGTCCTTCCCAAATTGGAATTTTGAAATTCAATGAAATAACAAAAATGCCCTTTGTTCTTTTTCTTTTTAAAAAAACCCAACCCCTCACCAGCGACTGGCCTCCGGTGGCCGCCGACAGCCTCTGGCCACCGGTGCCGGCCACCGGTGTGGTGGCTGCCGGTAAAAGATTTTTGTGACAAGATTTTTTTTTTTGAAAATAGGATAATATTGGATCAAAGTGGCGGGGGTGAGATTTGATCCCACAACCCCTTGGCCACTTGGACCAACAAAAGGGAATATGATCATTGGGCCATCAAAGATTTCTTAACATTATAATGCAAACAAAAATATAAGTTAACTCTTTTACTGTGACTCCAGCTCGTGACAACAATTTATCTGAGGATGACAAGTCTTAATTGAGAAATAACAAGTCTAAATTTAATATTAACAAAGCAACTTTTTCTTATACATAACAAATAGCAGCATGTGCATTAATTAAAAATGATCATAATTTATTTAAAAATGACACGTCTTTACTATAAAATGACAAGTCTAAAATTGATATTAACAAGACAACTTTTCCTTATATATAACAAGAAATAGCATCTACGTTAATTAAAAATGACCATAATTTATTTGAAAATAACACATCTTTATTGGAAAATGATAAGTCTAAACTTTATATTAACAAAGCAACTTTTCCTTATACATAACAAGAAATACTGAATAAATTGTTGTTATTTTCCAGTAAAGACGTGTCATTTTTAAATAAATTATGATCATTTTTAATTAATGCACATGCTGTTGTTTGTTATGTATAAGGAAAAGTTGCTTTATTAATATCAAATTTAGACTTGTTATTTCTCAATTAAGACTTGTCATCCTCAGATAAATTGTTGTCACGAGTTGGAGTCACAGTAAAAAAGTTAACTTATATTTTTATTTGCATTATAAGGTTAAGAAATCTTTGATGGCCCAATAGCCATCTTCCCTTTTGTTAGTCCAAGTGGCCAAGGGGTTGTGGGATCAAATTTTACCCCGCCACTTTGATCCAATATTATCCTATTTCCAAAAAAAAAATCTTGTCACAAAAATCCTTTACCGGCAGCCACCACACCTGTGGCCAGAGGCTGTCGGCGGCTGCCGGAGGCCAGTCACCGGCAGTGGTCGCCGGCCGCCGGGCACTGTGAGGGGTTGGTTTTTTTAAAAAAAGAATAAAGGGTATTTTTGTCATTTCACTGAATTTCAAAATTTCAATTTGGGAAGGACTTCCCTATTTATAATTACATTTTCCTAACTTTTTAAATTGGCATTTCACATTTTAAAGCTTCTCTATCTATCATTTTGCCAATTTAAAAAGTATTGTTTTAGGATTTTCCTATCAAATATGCGTAAAGTAAGGATGGTACGAGAAAAGAAAGAGTGAGGACGTCAAAAGTGGAGAGTTTGACGAATCACAGAATCTAATGACGCCTTCCCTACAGAATTGCTTCAACCTACAAGTGATGTCCACGTAGGATCTGACGTGCTCACTCGTCACCAACTGCATTGTCAATTGTCAACGCGCTTTTGACTTGAGGTCACTCTCAATTTCACATCCTTTTCATTTCAGGCCCACACCTACCCAATCTAATGTGCGTGGAATATGATCTGTATCAAACTGCGGACGTAAAAGAGAATAATCAATGAGCAACATGGACATTTTCATTTAAAATAATCTGTATACAACTAAAATGGGAACTATTTCGGGTGGTCAAAGGTCGTTGATTAAAAAATTAATTATGCAAAAGGACTTTGAAATTTATTTAAATTTCTAGATGCAACTCTATTTGTTTCCTACGCATAAGCATCCTTTAATAAGAGACAATACTATTTAAAACGCTGTTAGGTACTAAATGTAAATACTCCTATTAATAGGAATTCAACCTTTAGTTTAAGAGACTAATTACTTCTGCTAAACTTAATCTCTATTGATAGATGCAACTCTATTTAATTATACACAACTTGAGTTGAGTCAATGATACAAGCTAGCCTACAGGCTGTGGGCCAGATTACTATATCTCGTGAGTTATAAAGGGCAGGCTGCTCTTTGTTAGGTTAGTAAAACGTCAACCCTAATCTACTTCACTACAGTAGGTTGGCGGGTTAATTGCATCCATTAAAAAAAAGTTACATCCGCCTAAAAAATAGAGTGCTTAGATATCTTTACAGAATTAATTTTGTAACTAGAAAACCAAATTTCCCTAGTTTTTATTCCCTTTATAATGCGCATGACCTTTGGTGGGAAATGAAGGGTAAGAGAATAGGGTGAAGGACGCAATCTTTGCATTCTATTGGTTGTCCCTTGTGGGACCTATCTTCCACCTCTCACCGTTTTCAGTAAAAAAAACAGTAATTAAGATTCCTCCTCATCGCCACGCCGCAATCCGCCACACCTCGCCTCTCATCCTTCACTCGCCACCTTCATTCATTTTATTCATCCTTTGTTTTATTTTTGTTTTGCTTCTTCACAATTATCTAAAATTCGGTAGGACACACCATTCAATACAAATTAAATCATCTTATTCTAGCACTACTGCAGAATCTTTGACGCAGATTTTTTTATAATATCTCCAGTAAAATCATATAACATAAAAATCCAGGCGTGTGAGGGTGTAAGTGTAACAGTAACAGTGATAAATCACTTAAAAATTAATAAGAATAAAGTGGTATTCGTTTTATAATTCTAGATATGCTATCACAAAATTAAAAAGAAAAATTCTTCGACACTTTCTAATGAAAATGATCCCCATCAGAGATACACGGTAATGCTTTTGGGGGTGAAAGTGCCATTAACCTTTTCTGGGTTGGCAACAGTGATGAAGAAGATAGAGTTGAAAGATGAAACGAAAGCCAAGAGATTAAAGATACTCAATGTTCTGAGAGAGTTATGGAGACCAAATCATGAGATTACAGAGATGCATGATAAATGTGTTATTTCAATTATGCTAGTACTATACCTTGCAAGACCTTACCTAGTTTTTTTTTTTTTTTAATTAGAGTACTCTTTTGGTCTTATTTATTAGTCGTTTTCAATATGTTTCATTGAAACAAAAAAAAAAGTGTCTTTATTTACTCTATTTTAAAATTTTATAACTTTTTAATTTTATCTTTATTTGATATATACGCTTTCTTAGGAGAAATAACAATTTACACAATAATAAATAAAAGATCAAATATTACATTTATACTCTCTCCGTTTTTTATTATAAGAAACAACTACTAAAATTAACCAATTTAAAATGTTACTTAAATTTAATTAAAAATAATCAATGTGTAAGATATATATATGTACATATTTTCAATTACACACTTGTTTGTAAAGAGAATACATGAGAAATAATGAATAAAATTTATTACAAAGAGATAATAAGCAACATATATTTAATAAAAATAAAAGTAGAATTTTAAACCAAAAAAATTACTGCCCCTGCCTTTAATGTAGAATTTAATTGTTAAATTAATTTTGATTTTAAATGGAAGGTATATTTCTCATATTTATCAATTTTTTTTCTAAATTATTTTTATTGATACTCCCTCAACCATAATCAAGTAAGAGAGGAAGGGAAGATATTAAGAAAGACGATTGTAGTGTTTTAGAAAAAACATGTTATCTTTCTTATAATTAACTAATTTATCTAACTTCTTTAATATAATTAAATTAGTTAAATATATCTTATATTAATAAACGGAGAGTGTATCTTATACTTGAGGACATCATTATAAAAAAAATTATTTTTTCATAAAAAGGGACGGATGACTTTTTGTTTTAGTTAAACACAGATATTTTTCTATTAAAGATAATCTTATTTGAGAACTTTCAGATATTAAATATGAATATCCCTCTTAATAAAAAAATTAAATATTAATTTATTATATTGTGAGACACTGGTTGCTTTCCGTAGACTAAAGTTAATTCATAATGGGAGGACTTCCAATAAAACTCGACAAAGTATATTCGAATGTCAACCTGGGCTCAAAGGAGGCCCCAAGCTAGAGTCCTAGACATTTGTGCCAGAGAATTTATGATAACGTTGACGTGGACAAACCTAAAACAATCAAACCCGCAACGCCCAAAGTTGACAATTTCAGTGCGCTGCACAGTGGTCACATGCCCACACCGCAAGTCGTCCGCTTCACTTTCCACCAATAGCACCCAGACAGGTGTCACGTGGGGTTTGGTCCGATTCCAGTGTCCACTGGTAGAATACACATGGCATTTATCCATTGGATAGCCCTCATCGAATATTGGAGTTATTGGAGTTGACGAGGTGATTGATCTGTCTGACATTCATGTTTTAAAAAAGAGAATTGACCAAATGCCCAAACTCAATTACTCCTCCGATCCTAATTATAAGACCCAATTGACTTATTTGAGGAGATTAAGAAAGTAAGTTAAATTGGTTATTTATAATAAATAAGTGTTGTCATTCCTAAAATATCCTTGCTAATTAAGTATATTGGCTAAAACTATCATTATTAGAAGGATTATCTTGGAAAAAAATGCATAAATATAAGAGACAAAATGGATTGGGTCTTATAATTAGGACCAAATAAAAAGTCAAATTGGGTCTTATAATAAGGATCGGAGGAGTATTATTAATAAAAGGTCAATAATTATGGTGTGATTAGTGATCTTAATACTCAGTAATGGCAAATTTGGTGAAGAGGAAAAGCATTTAGAGGCTAAAACCGTGGAGGCAGGAGGGAGTATATAAATTGAGAAAGCCTTGCCAATACGCAAATCACTGAGAACCTTCCTCTCCTCATCTCTTCTTCCTCAAACCTCTCCCCTGCTTTTGCCTTGCCTTTCTGCATATTTCAGTCTCAGTTTTTATCTCTCTCTCTCTACGAGATCAGATTTGATATGGATCCCTATAATGAAGAGTTGATGAAAGCACTCCAACCTGTCAACCGTCCTCCGTCTTCTTATCCTTCTTCTGATCTCCTCAATCCCTGCATCCAAACACGCCCCATCAGGCTCAACCAGCTCACACCATCTCAGATTCGTGAAATTCAATCCCGAATCCAGAAACACAAGAAGACGCATCACCATGTTGCTTCCCCTTCATCCCAACGTAATCCGGCAAAACTCTACAGAGGAGTCCGACAGCGACATTGGGGTAAATGGGTCGCTGAGATCCGACTTCCCAAGAACCGTACCCGTCTCTGGCTCGGCACCTTCCATACTGCAGAGCAGGCTGCTTTAGCCTACGACAACGCAGCCTTCAAGCTCAGAGGAGACTTTGCCAGGCTCAATTTCCCTCACCTACGCCACCATGGAGCTCATGTGATCGGTGAATTCGGCCATTACGAGCCCCTTCCTTCATCTGTGCACGCCAAGCTCCAAGCTTTGTGTGAAAGCTTGGCAGACAATTCCCAGAAACAGGGGAATGCAGAGAAGCATCTCCACAACACACATGATTCTGCTACTCTCTCCTGCTTAGCTTCCTCGTCCGATGAGTCGGACATTACTTACTTGGATTTCTCGGATTCTAAAGTGGATGAAACAGAGGTTGTTGGTTTGGAGAAGTACCCTTCCATTGAGATTGATTGGTCCGCTATCTGAGACATGTCGTCCCAGTTTACTTAGAATTTTAGGTTGAGTACATATGTATTTATGTATCTACATGGTGTATTCGGTTACCTAGGTTCTGTTTAGGTGTGTTGCGTTTTCATCTGCAATGGAATATTTTGACATATGCAGAGATATTTTTTGGTGGAGCCAATATCAGAATTTCAATGAGTTCCATGGTATGCTGTGCTGTTTTTGGATTCTTGGCATGCCCATGATTATTTAACTTGCAGATTCATTTTAATTAATTAGTACCTTTAATTTGAAACTAATTAATTAATTAAAGTAGATTAGTGAAGTTTGTTGTGTTAGTTATTTATAATAATTAGGTATTATTTTTCCTAATATACCTTTAGTAATCATGTATTAGTTAAAACTAATGTTTAATATGTGTAACTATTACAATGATTACCTTAGAAAAAATAGATAAATATGAAAGACAAAGTGAATTAGGATCTTATATTTTGGACCAAATTGAAAGTTAAAATATCTCTTATATTAAGGACCGGAGGTAGTATTAAACATCACTCTGAGAAGAACATTAATTAGTAATTTTGTTTTAGCATAAGTAGTTCCAATAATATGGTCTAGCTTTTCAATCCCGGAAACTGAATTGTAACTGCCCTAATGCTGGTGTCATTTTGTTCCAAGTCCCAGCAATATCTGTGGGGCGTGGACTCATGTATGTGAGTCCCATCATCTCGAATAAAAATATTATCATTTTGGTATCCATAATTCAATATCATATACTCCTCCGGTCCTTAATATAAGACCCATTTAACTAATTTGATTAGATTAAGGAAGTTAGGTAAATTAGTTAATTATAAGAAAAGTGACACATTTTTCCTAAAATACCATAATCATCTTTTTTAATACCCCATCTCCCTCTTCTATTTGATTATGGTTGAGGGAGTATCTATATGGGCAATTTAAAGAAAATTGATAAATATGAGAAATTGGTCTTATATTTAAGACCAAAACCAACTCAAAAATTGGGTCTTATATTAAGGACCGGAGGAGTATTAAAGACAAAGAAAATAAAGAATTATACTTCATTATTGCAGTTCATAGGTCAGTAACTATTCACTGTTGTTATTCTGTGAGTGTGAATGTGAAGTGAGCAAGAGAAGACACAGGTACTGGCACCAAAAAGCAAGTGCTGGCAACCAACAGATTTGGATCCAATAAAAAAATTAATATCTCACAGTGTGACGAATCAAAATTTAACTGCACACTAAAAAAGATGTTTACTTTTCATGCGAGACAGTGTTTGAAACATAATTGCCTTCAATAGTTTTTTAAAAAAAAGTAGGGGCTGGGAAGAATCAATGAGGACCCGTCTTAGTCTTTTTTTAAAAAAATTAAAAGGCAAATTTATTAGAAGATAAAAAGAGATAAATAAAAAGGTCAGTCCATCACAAAAAAGTTAGTTGAGCAAACCCCAAACAAGCAGTGGACAGAAACCAGCCCAACAAAAAAAAAGATAACAAAACAAGAAAGGAAAAAAAAAAAAAAAAAGCACAGCCGCTTGGCTGAAGCTCAACAAACCCAGCATCCACAACTAATCAAATAGAAGTTCACCAGCACAAACTTAACACCAGTCAACCTAAACTAAAATCAGCCTAGCAAAATAGAGCCGTTTTAGTCTTTTAGATGCTCCTAGTAGTGTCAGGTCCCAGGAAAAAAAAAAAAAAAAGGGCTCAGAATTTGGATTGTTCTAGAAACCGTGATTCTCTCCAAATATGATATTTTCTAGAAATTCATAACTTTTAAAAATCACCAGGGAGTTACTGAATTGTCTTCGAGGTTGTTATATGGATTGATTCTACCGGACATGCATCTCATTCACATCTCAATTGCTCATTTACTTTCTTTCCAGTCTGCAACAATTATTTTTAATTTTCTATTTTAGTTGAATAAAACGAAATTAACAAGGTAGATAATTTCCTCAGTTTGAGTAAGAAATAAGAAACTATATATTAGTAATTACTCAAAGTGAGGAACAATATATAATTTTTACATCACAAAAAGTGAAAAAGTAAAACGACATAAGAACTAAAAAGGGGAATTTCACCACAGCCTCAGCATACAAATGGATGCAACAGGTGGAGAGTGAGGAAGATTCAAGCCTATGGAGGAAAGTGTGGAAACTCAAGGTGCCAGGACGAATCCGGTGGAGGGTGTGGCATGGAGATAGAAACTCAGTTACACGTTTGAAGTTGGTGCCAAGGGAGAAACAAAGGATTTTGTTTCGATGGACGTGGGGAGATTGGTTGAGGAAAAACTTAGATCAGCGAGGGAGGAATCAGGAGCACTGAATTTGGCAGGAATTATTCACAACTGGATGTTGGCACTTATGGAAGTGGCGGAACTGCCAAGCACACAAGGTCGAATGGAAGAGACCATGGAACGACCAAGAAATAGTAAAACAGTTTCCGGAGAATGTCAGGAAAAAATGAACACCAGAACAGCAATAAAAAGATACCTATGTTTTAGTGAAAAAAAAAAAAAAAAAACAGAGAGAGGAAATAATTTATGTGGGCTGGAAACCACCTATGGGAGATTGGCGTAAACTCAATATTGATGGAACTATAGACTTTAGGGGCGTAACAGGATGTGGCGGGGTCATCAGGGGGAATTGTGATAAATGGTTGGGAGGATTCATCGAAGGGTGAACTTATGTTGGAATCTGGGGCTCCGTAAGGTTGAAGTAGAGTGCAATGTGAAAAAGGTTACTGACGAGATAAACAATGATGGGCTTCCACAAGGGAATGAACTTCTGTCTCTAAGAATGAGAGACTTAACTAGTAGAGACTGGCAGGTCCAGTTCAATCATAATTTGTATTTCGGCATATTTATATTGCAGGACTTAATTGGTTTCTTTGTGCTTGGCAGTTGAAAACCCACACCAAATGGAATGGGCCCTCTGCTCAAAAAAAGAAAGGGCCCAATGGCCGAAAGCCCATTGGTAGAAAGCAAAATAAACTCACCTGTGATCGTCTGACCTACTGGGTTGACCTTGGATGTTCTTCTTGGCGTTTAAAACGGGCTAATAGTTGTTCACCCAAGCATAATTTCTTTTTTTTTTCTTCAAAACATTGCTATTGATTATAAAAAAATTAACAATAAATGTTATATCAATGCATAATTATTAAAAAGCATAATTTAGGAAGAATAGCAGATATTTGTGACAAATAATCAACTTAACCAATTTTCTTAATATAATTAAATCAGTTATCTAATTTTTATATTAAAAACTGAGGTAGTAATGCATAGGAACCAGCTGTTTAATTTAATTTTCCATTGATCATTCAATTTTTTTTTAGAAATACACTATTGAATCTTTAGAATAATTATAGTTTCAGTTGTTTGCCTAATTATTTTCTAAGAAATGTCAGTATCATGGTAGAAAACTTTCAAAGATTCAATCATGTATTATTAAGATAGGAAACTTAGAACTTAGAAGTGACAGTTCATAACATATGGTGCATTTCAATATTACTGCTACAATTACTAAATTATCATGTCCTCAGGAGAGAAATATGCCAATATTGAAAACAAGAATAGCCACCAACCTTAGCAAGGGCCAAAAAAAAAAAAAAAGAGTTTGAGAGTGTGTGTTACTTTGGTTAAAATTTGGCTAACCATAATCAAATTAATGCCAATCAAATCCATATATGTTCTGTGTTTGGTGCTGTGATTACTAATTGATGAACAAAACTAATCATCAAGTCACGATTCAAACAAATATAACTCAGATGTCTTGACCAGCCGACCTAAGTTAGGTTCTAACACCATATTGGCCCGAGTTAGTAAAACACAAATACGATGATGTACTATTATTTTTTTTTAACTCAAAATAATTAATATTGTTTTAAACTCAACAATAAAAGAAAAAGTATAAAATCCAACCTAATCGACCCATCCAGAATTTTTCACCGAACTGAAAAGGGAAATAACTCATTGATTCACTAATCTAACTAATTAATTCAAGTTAAACTTTAATATCATAAATAAAACAAACGGTCCTTCTCAATTATTATAAAGTTGTTGTGGACATGAACAATCATGTAAGTGGTTTTGAAGCCAACAATTAGGTGAGATAGAGAGAGAGAGAGAGAGAGAGAGAGAACTAGGTCATGATTCATGAGGCACCGTCTCCATCACCAATCGTTTTCTTTAGGTGCAACACTCATTTAGGAGTCATCATCACTTGGATGCTCAAATTAGTCTTTTCATGTAAATTATGGCTCATTTCAACCTTCAACTCTCCATTTCATTTGACAAAAGTATAAGAGCATGTGACAACCCAAGCTTTATAATTAATTATGGTGATCTTAATCACACATCATGCCCACTCTTTTACTAAAGTGGTTTCACGGGTGATTCAACAATATTCAAAGTTAACTTGCTTGCTAATATTTGATTACCTCTTGCTCTTAATATACGATGTGTTTAGCTAACTTGAGTATATTAATAATTCATTAAGAAAATTAGTTAAATTAGCTATTTGTTAAAAAAATGTATTGATCTTTCAGAAATACCCTCTTTAATTATTTATATTGAAATTGCACTTTAATGTAGGTTTTTTTAACATGTGCACTCGATAGGCATATGTAGTTTGGAGGAAAATAATAAATCTGGAGAACAAAATGTTGACGAGGTCTTATGAGAACGAATCAAACCTCTGACTAATTTTTATATAAACGATTGAAGATAGTATCATACTATATAAAAAATAAATACAGATTAAAAAATTAAACCCCGTTATTGTTTATAGATTAATGATGACGCGGCCCCAAAATTATCAAAATGCATGAGAAACAATAATTTGTTGCTTTGCCATGTTTTGACTTGGATTCCTATTTTTTATTTGGATTTATATTTCTGGTTTCTCTCGATTAAGTTTAATTTACATTAATCTGTTCCTGATCTATAATTTAGATTTGTGATTTCTAATTTACATTAGCTCTCATCAATTTTATTTGTATTTCTGAAGAAGTGTATGAGTTTTTTTTTTTGGGTTTAATTTCACTTTTTTAATTTCATTTTAAAGTATGAACAAAATTAAATTCATTAA